TTAGATTACTTTCATACTCCTAGATTTGCTCCTAGGTTTAGGGAACATTTTTCCTATGGAAAATGACATTTAACTGTGGAGTATTATTTTTTAACATGCTAGCACACGTCCATTGCCCTGGATTGTAGGAGTTGTGGTAGGAAGTGCTTGCCCTCCTGTGTAGTGCTGATTCCTCATGCACATTGCATGGCAGCTCCGGGGTAACCTGCCCCCAGTTCACAGGTTGTGTGTCCTTGGAGATAGTCAGTAGGACTGACTCATGTTGAGCAAAGGCCAGCAGCTGTCCCTGAAATGAGAAGGGGAGCCCTGGGGTGCCTTGCACTGACTCACATTAAGGTGTCTCTGTGCTGGTTGCAGCTTTTGTTCCCTGCCCCTGTGTGGACATCAGGTTTCACGCTGCAGTTTCTGCCCGTGGAATCTTAAAGTCAAATCAACCAGATGCATCTGAGTCTTTTGACAATGAATTACATAAACTAGTGTCTACTTCACCAAAATATCCTTCCCCAGAGTTTCTTTTGGCACTGTTTCCCAAGTTCTCTGAGCAGCTGCACTGTGGAGCCCAGCCCCAGTGTCAGTGGAGCTGCAAGCTGTGTGCTGGTACCAAGCCTGTCACAGCTTCACCAGCCCACACAAACCTGCTGTGTGCTGAAGTGACAGCAGACTGCTGGGGCTGCAGGAGGCCTGGGTGCAGGTAGAAGCCCCCTTGGATAATATCACCTGATATTTCCTGCCAGCACAGTTACTTTAAATTTTTTCCAGTTTTAGGAATTCAGGCTACCTGCAGGCTTTGTTCTCTCTAATGTTCCTGAATTAAAAAGTGCTGAGCTCTTTTATATTCAAGAATCCAAAGTAGATATTCTGAAGCCTGCTAGATAATGCATGTTATCTGTGCTGGCCCATCTTCATTGGATTTGTGCTTCACTGCCAAATCTCTGAGTTGCAGAGGAAGGTCCTGCTCCTGAGCGTGTAACACCTTCAGTGTCATTTTATTTCTGTGCTTCTGTACCTGTTCTTACCTTGTGACCCTTCTCATTTCCATCTTTTGAATTGCCTTTTGTCAAGTTTGTCTTAGTCAAGCCTTCAGAGTCTTTCTTTTGCTGACTTGCTGAGGTCAAGGGCTGAATAGTCTCAAGTTTTCATGAGCTGAAGGAAGTGGGGGAGGTGAGCATGTTGCATCTGTCCCAGGTCACATTTGGTTTGTTAATTCCTTCTCAAAGGCCACAGTTTTGTCAAGAATCAGTGAAAACCAGGCTTTTCTGTGTGCTGTTTGACAGCACCATGCAGACAGCAGAGTTCTTTGGGAGGTTGTTCTGTGCCTCTGACTCCCTGCACTGGTTGGACTGTAATTTCTGTCATGGATTAGTGTCATGTTCCTCTGTCTCAGAGTCATCTCCCCTCAGCGCAGCTCACTGTCAGGTATTGGATCTGAGTGCATCATGGGTTTTTAATACACTTTCTCTCTTAAGAAGCTAAGAAACCAAGGCTTACAAAAATTGCAAAAAGAAAAAAAAAGTTTGTAAATCTGTGTGTCTGGTTTATGTACAGGTCCGGGAAAAGTATTTGTGCAACTTTCCTAAGAAAGATTGCAATGGAAAGGGGAAGACTGAATAACAAAAAAAAAACCCCACATGCTGAAGTAATTAAACTCAAGAATTGCAAAAAGGTTACTGTGTTTCTTGTACATTCTTTGTGTGTGTTCCTGTTTGTGCCAATGTTTCCCAAACCTGTTTACTGATTTCTCCAGAATTAAGACCTTTCCTGCTCCTGGGGCGTGGCCTCATGATGCAGCTGCGTGCTGGTTCAGGACTGACTAGGGTGATGAGGAAAGCCTAGTGTCTGTTTCCAGAGCGTGGGAGAACAGCACCTGGGACTGGTTTTTCAAAAGGGTTGATGTGAAAGCTCAAAATACCGTGTGTGCTGAAAAATACACCAGATGTAGGGCACACCTGCACATGTTCTCCACAGACCCCAATAGGAAAGGCCCTCAGCTCCATAAGGTATGGATTAAAATATTCACTGGAGATAATAGGAGGAAATGGAACAGCCCAGATCATCTGTAGCATCAGGCAGACCCCAGATCTGGCACCCCTGTGCAGACTGCCCAGGGTAACTGGCACTGGCACCACAGGCATTACAGTTTTTGTGGGATTTTCCTTGAAGTAAGGAACTCCTGATCATTTCCACTGCCAAGAAAAAGGATCTTTATACAGAACATGCTGCTCTTCAGGACAAGGACAGGGCATGTGGAGCTATGGCCAGACTCCTGTGCCATGACAGGCTGGCTGAGCCTGCAGCACAGTGCAGCTGCTGCTGCCCAGCCTGTGCCCGAGGGCCAGTGGCCAGGCACTGAGCAGCCCCATGTGCCAGCCGGGGTGGGGGCACTGCCCCACTGCAGCCCGAGGTCACCCGTTTGTCACCCGTGACCGCAGGGGCCTCGCTGTAGCAGCAGCTTCCTTCCTTCTCCAGCATCAGTGCACATGGCTGCTGCCTGGCTCCTGGGCTTTATCTCTGTGTCTGGGGAGGAAAGATTGCTCTCCCTTATCATTCACGTGCTGGGAATCCACAGAACACTCCCGGGTGTGGCGAGTGCAGACTGAGAAAGTGCCAAGTTCCTCTTGCATGCTCCTTTCAGATGTACTTTTGCACTCTTCCAGCCCAGCCCTCCCCACACCAACCGTGGGAGCCTTGCCATCAGTTCATATCTCCTGTGTGCTTGCTAACAGCTTTCCAGAATACAAGAAAAACTGATTTTGCTCTGTCTCTTCTGGGCTGTGTGATGCCACCTCATCCATCCACGCTCAGAATGTTTTGCTGTCTCCTAAAGCAAGATTCTTGTTTTGAAAAGCAGCATCATGGTATCAAAGATGCCCAAAGCAGAAGCAAGGCGTTGCTGCCAAAGTCACCTTAGGTACAGGTGCCTGGTGCTGCATTTTATAAAGGATAAAACTTTCCTGCCACTGTTCCCCCGCAACCAACAGGGTAAATGTAAATACATGAAAAAATACCTACACATCTTTTTTAGTCACACAGTTTGAGTTTCAACTTCCTGGTTGGTCCAGATCCTGCTAGTGCTACATTCCTGTTGTGTTTTCACCCCAGCCAGCAGCAAGCACCACACAGCCACTTGCTCACTCTCTCACGAGTGGGATTGTGGAGAGAATTGGAAAGGTAAAAGCTGAAAAACTCTTGGGTTGAGATAAAGACAGATTAATAGTGAAAGTGAAAGCTGGCATACAAGCAAGGAAAAACAAAGGATTTACTCCCTGCTTCCCAGGGCAGACAGGTGTTCAGACACCTCCAGGAGAGCAGAGCCCCATCATGTGTAATGGTGACTTGGGAAGGCAAACACCATCACTCCAAATGTCCCCCCTCCTTCTTCCCCCCAGCTTTCTGTACTGAGTGTGGTGTCATGGGCAGGGTTAGTTGGGGTCACCTGTCCTGGCTGTGTCCCCTCCCCATCTCCCCTGTACCCCCAGCCCCTTCACCAGCGAGGCCATACAAAAAGCAGAAAAGGCCTCGGCTCTAACACTGATCAGCAAAAACAAAAACATCTCTGTATTGTCAGCCTATGCAAAACATAACCCCATATTAGCCACTGTGAAGACAATTGATTCTACCCCAGCCAAACCACTGTCTTTGACTTAGTTCAAGACAATGCAGGCTTCTACCCTCCTCCAGCAAGCTCTGTCCCCTGCAAAGGAGTTCCAGCGATACGTGAACACTGCAGCCCACAGCAGCTTTTCCTGCTTCTCCCTGTCCCAGGGGCTGCAGGCTGGAGTGGCATCTCATGGGAGATTTCTGGTGGAGGAATACAGGGCCACAAGGGAGGATCCCACTCTCTCTGCAGACCCAAACCACGTCTCACTAGCACTGCAGGAGGGCTGTGTCCACACCAGGGGCTGGGATTTGGTTGGCTGCATTGAATTAGTCTGATTACTTGTATTTGAAAATAGGGTGTTGAATTTGGGTGTAACAACAGCAACCGCTCATTTCAGTTCAGCTGAATGCAAGGAAGCAGAAGAGATTGTTTTACTGGAGCAGAAGAAAAATTGAGAGCTGTAGAAAACAGTAAAAGGCAGTAAAACCCCCGAATGGGATATTTCAGTAGAAAACAGATACTTCTCTTAGGGCTAGTGCGTGTTCAATTACTGAATTATAGAGATTAACTATAACATTTAATGAATAGTAATATATCATTACAGTAAAGAAACCATGATTGCATGGTCTCAAAGATTTTCTGCTGTGACAAGTTCCTCTTTTTCTCTCTGGGCATTTCCATCTTCACCTGTTCCCAAGTAGTCTGAAGGCACTGCAGGGATGTATGGCCCCAATCAGGGCTTGTAATTGAAAACAATTAACCAATTAAACCAAGCAGCTAAATTGCTCTGTGAGAAGGGAGGATCCATTTGTGAGATGCAGTGGGATTTGTGGTTCAGATGCCTGCAGCTCTTGGGAAATTTTTGGCTTTAGATTTGTATACCTGAATTCATCCTCTTCTAAATGTGGTAGAGTGATATAGAATATTCCAGCTGGAAGAGGCCTATGACAATCATCTGTCTTGTACTGGTAATGTAAAGATTTAAGGGGTTTCATGAACCTTAACTTAAAGCATAGTGGTGGGTGTCTCACAGAAGCTGGTGAGAAAGTCAATTGTGAGGACCTAGATAGTTCAGCTCCTTATGAGTTCTCTCTCAGACCTCTGTGTGTGTAATTCTGTGTTAAAGCTTATTTGTCAGCAAGCAACACAAGGAGGAAAAGAGGAAGAAATGGTTGCCTAGGACTCAAAAGAAATAAAGGAAAAAAATTAAAAAACAGAAGGGGGAAAAACATACTCAGCAGAAGCTACAAAATAACGTAGAAGTAACTCTTACACTTTCCTCTTTGCACCCTTCCTTAGCGTTTCCGCTCTGCCCACGCCTCTGGTGGTCACTGAGACACTTGGTTTCTGATAAAGAGGAAGGAAAAGCCACCAGCTGTTGTCCCGGATGCTCGGTGACAGAGTGAGCCCAGGCAGGGAAGTGTTCCTGATTTACCCCAGCCTGGGAAAAGCAGGTCACTCTGGCTGGAGAGGGAGCAGCTGTGAAGGAAGGATGGGAAGGATGCTGCGAGCAGCTGTGCTCCTGAGTTCCTTTCTCCACTGCAGCGGTGAGTCTGGGCTGGGCACGGGCCCTGCCCTGTGTGTGCTTGGCAGGGGCAGCTCTGTTTTGGGAAGAGCTTAGATTCAGTCCTCAGAGTGAGAGAAACGTGCTGGGACAAAGGCAATGGTCTGCATTTTTACAGGAAAAAGAGTTTTGGGTTTCTTTAGCCAGTGGTTTAAGTTTCTCATGCTTGGCTTAGGCTGGGAGAATGGTGTGTTTCAGAAACAAATAGGCAGTGGAGGAGGGAAGTCTTTGCTGTTCCTCAGAAGCCCCAGAGGTGATGTCTGGAGCAGACATTGGCTGAGACCAGGGAGCTGCAACTTGGACTTTAGACCAACTCATTCCCTCAAACCTAAGATACCCAATAACTCTGACCCTGTGCTCCACTCAGTGCTGGTGGTGGCAGGAAAGCACCCAGCAGAGCAGGAGAGCCAGGCTGCACCCATGGCAGAAGTCAGTGCCCTGGCCATCAGCCACCTCCCATCCTCATGCCACACTGATTTTTGGTTAACCCACCCCTGAGCAGCCCAACTCCACACTCCCCAGTGCCTGCTTGTGTTTCTCATCTGGTGGGTTCTCTTTGCCAATGCTCTTGCCATGACTTCACCACCTGGGAGCTGCCTTCACCCTGGCCGCTCTGCGGCTTAATTTTCATCTTCCTTTCTTCCTGCAGCTTTTCTGGACCTGAGTGGCCTCAGTGAAATCAAAGGGGTCTGGAAGGACTCTGTCACTCTGCCTTGTGCCTATGTGCCTGTGGAGGACCTCGTGCAGCAAACTCTCACCTGGACTGTGGTACATGACGAGGGTTCAGGCACCATCTTCCGGAGGGATGACTCCGGGGACCACGTCCTCCTGGCTGAGTACAGGGACAGAGTCAGCATCCCAAAGGATGCCCCAGGAAATGTGTCTCTTCTCATCCTGAGCCTGGAAATCTCTGACAGAGGAACCTACACTTGCCAGGTCACCTGGAGAGACAGCAACAACAGCCTGATAGCAAAGGAGATCACCACCAGTTTGGAGGTTGTTAAAGGTAAATCCAAGGACGAGACTGTTCAGGAGGGAAAGGCTTGGCTCAGGAAGGCTTTTGGGCATTAGAGCAGGTAGGCAGTGACTGTGTGTTTCCACGCAGAAGCATTTTGCTGATCAGTATCAGCCTCCAATAAGAAACAGCAAATAGGTCAGAGAGAAATTCTGCCCAGGACACAGCACCCCGCAGCTCTGGGAGGACTGTGGCTCCTCCAGGACCAGTTCAGCCCCGGCTCTGTCTGTAGCCAGTGGCTCAATGTTTCCCAGTGGCATGCAGCAGTGGGAAGTCCCAGGGATACTGTATTGCTGTTCTTTGACTAAATTTCACCAGCATGTTCTTGCCGTCCCTCTGCCCATGTGGGGGGTTTATAGAGGCACAGAGACTGCAGGACACCTGTGTGGCACAGCTGAGCTCATCCTGTGCAGGGAGGAGATGCTAAAGCTGAGCTGCTTTTTTTGGGAAGGCACCGACAGCAGGAGCGAGAGCTGCTGTGGCAGGGGACCGTCCCCACCACAGCCAGGGCTCCGTGACCCGGGTCTCTCTGCTCTGTGTTGCAGTGGCAGCCACCAAGCCCATCATCAGAGCTGCAGGCCCGGGGCTGACGCTGCCGGCCGGAGCCAGCACCAGGCTGAGCTGCGAGGCCGGCGGCTCCCCTCCCATCAGCTACCGCTGGTTCCGGGCGGGCAGAGCCGAGCCCCTGAGCAGCGGGGCCGAGCTGGCCTGGCCCAGCCTGCGGCCCTCGGACAGCGGCACGTACTTCTGCGAGGCGCACAACAGGGCTGGGGCCGGCGCCGCGCAGCGCAGCGATGCCGTGCAGCTGACGGTGACAGGTGAGTGCCGCGGCGCGGCTGGCAGCACAAATCCCAATCCTCTGCACGGCAAAGGAACCGCGTCCTCCTGCCCTGCCCGCAAAGGAGGAAAGGCCAAACGCCTTCAGCACTCGGACACGGCTGCTGGCTCCAGCCGTGTCCTTCTCTATTTCCTGCGTTCAATTTCCTCCTCTTTGAGGAACTGCTCTTTTCTGATGCAAAAGAGGATTTCTCCTTCAAATGTTAATTTATTTATTCCTCTGTGGGTTTCTTGAAGTTCTCTCTGGCTCTGTAGTGCTGCCCACTGCAATTCAGCAAGTTGAGACAAAGCAGACAAGCTTTATTTTGAGAAGCAGGAACGAGCGAGTGGTAATTCAGTGGCAGAACAAACCACACTGGCCTTTGCTCCCCAGCACCAGCTGCGTGTCTCAGGGAGACACACTGCACTTCATTCCAGGCTCCGACCCCTCCAGGTCTGCAGGACAGTGTGTGACAGGTTGGGCACAATGGCCTCAGAGGAATTTTTCAATATCTAATCAATTCCCTGATGGGTGCCTGGTGGAAAACTTGCAGCTCTCCGTGGCTGGTCCCTGGATCAGCACAGCTGTGAAGCCCCTGCTGGCAGAGCCAGGCACAGGCACATGGCAGTGGCCTGTGAAAGAGGCAGAGCCTGCTGAGCTCCCAGGCACGGAGCTGTGCTGCTTTTCCCCGCAGTCACACCTTGCAGGGAGCAGCACAGGAACAGGGCTCAGTGCTGCAGGTGCTGCCTCACGCTGCTGGCACAGCATCCCCCTCCTGTCAGCTGGGAGGGGGCTGCTTCCTCCTGCTCCCACCTGTGGGGAATTCTGTACCACAGCAGCATCACCATGGTGGTCAAACCCCTGTGTAAGCCTCTCCTCGCCCTCACCTTGCAGATCTGCCCACAACAACTGTGGCCTTGCAGAGGAATGTGGGAACCACGGGGGGACACCACTCAACCACAGGTCAGGGTGGGAGCAGTGACAGCTGATGGCAAGGGTGGGGTGTTGGGGCAGTGTGTCACCAGTGCCTGGAAGTTGTTTTATTGCTGGGGTACAAAGTCTTGGCATTACTGAACTTCAGTCCATGTGCCTCAGTATTTAACTCATATGTTTCTGAAAGTAGATTTTCCTTCCCTCAGTTTCCAGTCCACAGTGGCCTTATATGTTGTCTTTGTAGGAGAGACTGCAAGTGTCTTAGGGCTGCTGAAAATGCCTTTTCCTAAGTTGCAGATCATATGGGATGGGATGTTCTGGGTTTTGTTCTTTTCTAAAGGGTTTTTTTTGCTTGTTATTTGATCCTGAATGAGAGCTGCTGAAGGGAGGCAGTTCTGGTGTCTCCAGTGGCAGGCAAGGGATGCAAAAGCTTCCTCAGCCCCAGCTGAAAACATGTACTTGACCAGGGACAGCAGTTTTGAGGGAGGGCTTGTGGTTTCACATTTGTTTTTGTGGGATGTGGGAATTTTTGCCTGGACTAAAGCAGATCTGCGTGTGGGAACATTCTCTGGCTGGATTATGTTTATTTTGGATTTTTGGTGCCCCGGCAACCACGTGGGGATTGTGGAAGCTGGTGTCAGTCACTGGAAGCCGAGGGAAGGTGCTGACAGGTGTTGATTTTTCTTGCAGAAAAACCTCAAACAGAGCTGGTGCCTGCAGGTACCTCAGGAATCTCCTGGACTCCATGGGGCCCCACCACTACTGCAGGTGTGTGTGCACAGACATGCAAATGTACCTGGTGTGTGTCTATGCAGTTTGGTTATACATAAAAATGTATATATACTATATATGGTATCCATCCAGTGACACTATGGTAGTATATATACAGTATATATACTATATATACATATAGTGTGTATATATATATATACTATATAGTACACTGTATACATAGTGCTCATTTCTGCAGTTTGCCTGTTTTCACTGCCCTATAAAGGGGCTGCAAGCATTCTCCTCTGATCCTACAGCTCGAATCCCAGATCTCCTGGTGCTAAAGTGAGGGTTGGAAATGCACTGTCAGACTTTAACTCATGTTTGTTTTCCAGATCTGCCCATAACAGCAACAACTTCTGAGAGTGGTGTGGGATATCCAGGGAAGAATGAAACGATTCGTGGTAAGTAAGAGCAAAACCAAGCTGAGAAGAAGATTAAGGATTCAAACCAGATGCTCTGTATTCAAAATTAGTATTCTGCCTTTTTAACTGCAAATTGCAGAGTACCCAGATAATTTCATGGTGACTCTTTAAAAGGCTCTGGATGTTTTTATGGAAGAATTTAAAAAAAAAATGTTGACATATGGGGCACATAGAGTTGTTGCTGTGTTCCTGAGCAGTCAGTCCATTTTTTATCTTGGACTGTCAAAGCTGAAACAACAGAAAAGCCTCAATGTGTGCCTCAAGCAGATCTACACATCCTCCAGCTTTGCATCATTGTGACAGGTTTAGACTTTCCAAACAGAATTGAGCAGAATCCTTGAATGGAAAGCTTTATTTCATGATATGCAGTGCAATTTTCCTGCCCAGCTCACATCCCTGGTCACCTCAGCATGAGAAGGACACTGTCTGTACAGCTGTGGTCCTTGGAGAGGTGTACACAGTGCTGGGTCACACAACACCCATCCAGAGCCACAGGACCAAGGCTCTGTGGGGACACAGCCCCGTGTGCTCAGGCAGGGCTGGCTGCTGCTGGCCTTGGGGACATGGTAAATGTCATGTCCCTGCTGCTGCTGTCACCCAGGAGGGCTCCCCTGTCTGAAATTCCTCTGTTGTATTGCTTTAGATTTCCAGAGGACTGGCTTGTCCCTGTACCTGGTCGTCCTGATTGCTGTGGTGTGTGGTGCTGTGGTTTTCCTTGTCATCTCTCTCATCACGTGCATGAGGAAGCCCAGAGACAGTGAGTAGAATGTTCTGGAAAACCGGAATGTTTTACTCATGCCCAGCATGGCTTTACCTTTGATGGGTTTGGGGTCTGGAGCAGAGCTTGCAGCCACCAGCTGCAGCTCTGGCACGTCTGGCATCATGCAGGCAGTAGATGCCACAGGTGGTGGGAGACCCAAAGAGGCAGAGAAGTCCTTGCAGCCAGGAGGGTCTTCCAGGCACCAGCTGTGGGGTTGGAGCAGCAGTGGCTCCTGAGCTGCACCCTCCATCCCTGCCCTGGCTCTGGGGCAGCTCAGTCCCTGCCCAGCCCATCCCAAGGTGTGTGGCTTGCTCTGCCACAGAGCCTTGAGATGGTTGTTTCTCACTGCTGATCACAGATATCCCAGGGCTCGGACTCTCCTGCTTGGCCAGGCTCATTGTTCCAGATCTTTAAAGCCCCTGGCAGAGGGCTTATCCAAGTCCTGCTGCTGGGAAGAGCTTTTGGCAGCAGCTGCTGCTCAGTAGTTCCTGCAGCTGGCACCCAGAGGGAAGAGGTCACTGTCAATTCTCCCTATTCCATGTGAATTTGTTTCCTCTCTGATCTTCAGTCATAGCATCCATTCACTGAATGCTTTGTCTCTCCTGCACTGCACGAGAAATCCCCTTGACCAAATGTTCCTTGGAGCCCCCTCCCCACCAGCTGTGCAGAGAGCACACAGATGTGCTTTGGGGTTTGAGATCCCACAGACTTTATTTTCTCCTTTGTTTTGCTAATGATCTTCCTATGACTCTGTGCTACCAATTAATAATAAAATTGTCTTTTTCTTTTTTTTTTCTTTTTTTTTTTTAAGGAATCCAGAGTAGCCACTTTCAAAACTGTTCTTTATGGAACTTCTAATGATTAGAGAAACTGGGGAATTCTTGTTTCTAACCTCAACTTTATCTTTGACATTGGGTCAAAATAACCCACTTTTTTTGTTTTCTTGGACTGAATCCTGGGAAACTGAGTCATCCCCTACCTGACATGATATCCAAGGCTGTTATTTTTGTTGTCTTGAGACATCATTTTCTTAAACCAAGAAGATAAACAAAGAAATTCTTTTTTAAGGAATGTAAATGCAAATTATTGACACAAATTCTGATTTTTCTTTTCCAGCTCAAGTCTATGATGTAAAACTGTGAGTATAACCCTTTATCTGGCACACTGATGAGTCCTGGGGGGATGTATCAGAGCAGAATAAAAAGCACTGCTCTTAGCTGTCATAATGAAAACCCCCTTAAGCAGTCTGGGTGAAGAGGTTCACAGCACAACAGCACATTGTAGGATGGCTTGTGGGCTTTCCACAGCAGCAAAGAATGGGGGAAGAAAGATGCTTTTCATGGCAATATCAGAATTGTAGAAGTGAGCAAGAGCTGCTTATTGACTCCTAGGCCCAGGGAGGGCTACTGAAGATGATTGCCAAGGCTAAATTCTCTGTGTTTTTCCAAGGCTAAATTCCCAGTGTTATTTCAAATGCACAGGAAAGGAACTCCCCTTCTAGAAACGACTGGTTATATTCTAATTTATCCTGAAAATATCCCTGGATGAATTTGCTACTTTTAACCATAGCTAGGAAGGAAGTTATAGCTCTTTCTAAACTCAGGTTTCACATCCTGATCTACTTGTAACCTGTGGAAGTTTTACTGCAAAGCCTCACAATCTGGCCAAAACATACAAGGAGAACCACTTCTCTAGGTACAAAGTGCTGCTGACTTGAGTATTACAGTGGGATGTGCCAGCTTCCCCAGCAGTGTGTAAGGCAGCAGTTTAAGTAACATTTGAACCCTGAGCAATGGAACAAACGCTGTGATGACATTTCTCCTCAGAGGATCTCTCTTCATTTAAAAAATATTAGATGCCATAAGCCAGACAGTGGATGTGGGCTGTTTTCAGTTCTTAATTTACACTTCCTCCAATATTTTTTATATTTATTTCTCTTCAGCAATTATCTGATTGTGCAAGAAATGGTGGTAATCCTTTCATTGCTTGCACACCCTTTGCTGCTTCTCCCTGGAAACTTTCTCATGGTTGGAAGCAATGCTGCTACAATGCCCAAGGTTTTCCTGCCACCAGAAAGCAAAGGAAAAATTCTCTCCTTCAGAATATTTCCATAGCCCAGTGGCCCAAGTTTACATGGGCTTGAGTCAGACCATAATAATGTCAAAATCCCGATGGTTGGAGATGCTTTGTTTACTCTGGTTGCTATTCTTTTTGCTTTTTGATTTCAGCCACAACTTGAGAGCAGCAGCTTCTTCAAGCACAGGTCACTATGAGGAACCCATCTCTGCCACTGAAAACAGCTATGTGATGGAGCTTGGGGAAAACAAAGTCTCTCAAGAAGTAAATAAGAATGTGTCTGGCTGTGTTGCAAATCCCCAGGAATCTGAGTATGAAGTAGGGGACACTTCCTGAGAACCAACAATGCTCTGCAGATACCAGTCCTGAGGAGCACCTTCACCCAGACAAAATACATATTTATTTTCCCTTTTGCCCCTGATAAATAGGTTGCACAAGCAGTGGTTGCTCTCCCTTCACAGTCCCTGCAGTGAAAATGCAGGAACTTCAGTTATAGACTGCTGTATAGAATTTCTGATTTTGTTTTCCTCGATTCCCTTTCACCACCTCTATCCAAGAAAGCCCTTTGAATGCTGCAGCAGGCAGGTCCCAGGCTAGGAGCACTGTACTGAATTTACTGCTGTATCTGGCCAAAAAAACCAGTGTTTCCAGCCTTTGTGTGGTGGGAGGAGAGCCAGCACTGAGGGCTGCTCAGCATCCCCCTCCCCGTGGGTGAGCAGGGCAGGATGTGGCTGGCTTGGGAATCAACGGCTCTTCTCCTGCCCACCTGATGCTGCACAGATTTAATAGGAGAGAGATTTTATAGGAACACTGGAAGGCAGATTAAAGCCAAGAGAAACTCAGGAACCTGCCACACCAGGAGAAGCAGTGCAGGAAGCAGGAATGTCCCCTGCTGTCCTTGTGCTGTCCTTGGTCCCCCTCCACAGCACTGCAGCGAGGTCTGGGCACACTGGCCACGGCTCTGGCTGCTTCTGGTACTGCAACCAGGCACTTTCTGAGCTCGTGTTTTCTGCTCTCTCTTTAAATGCATGATGGCTGTTTGAAAGGAATTAGGTACTTTTCCATAAGTTTGGGGTAGGATTGCTTACACGTGCCTCACGTGTTTTGCTGTGTGCATTTCTGCACTAATTTTTCATTTTGGAATGCCAGCAAGCCACTCACAGCCCCTCACTAGATACTCAAGAAGTACTTTCCTTCCACCTTAGGAACCCTGAAGGGGTAAATTATGAATAATTTCTACTGCTCTGAGTAAATCTATTATGCAGAGTTATGGAGGAACCTTTTTATAATGAGCAGGGCAATCCTCTGTGTCCCATTAAAGGCCATGCAGGCAGTTGTAAAACAGAGGGAGTGACCCAGGGATGAGCAAAACAGTGGTAATAGGCACAGGATTAATGGGCCCCCAGCTGTGCATCTGCAGGCCTCTAAGCATCAGTTCAAAACTCACCAGAATTCAAAGGGAATGTGAGGTGCTAATGGAAAGGTATTCCAGTCAAAAACCAGGATTGTGGTACTGTGAAGCCCATGGAATGTCACTACCTGACCTGTGCATGTTGGCCTCATCTTGGGTTTAGCAGAGCAAGAAAAGTTACTGAGAATGATTGCAAAGAATAATTATTGGTACAAAAAGACATCTGTGCAAACAGTCTCAGAAAAAAGAGAAGAAGCAAATAAGCAAAGTGTGCCTGTGGGGGTCAGAGCTGAGAAGGTGAAGGGGTTACAGCTTGTTTACAGCTTCTCTGAAAAGGATGCAGAAATTAGTGATAATTATCTGGTAGCACTTTCAAAGGGCAAGGAAAAGTACTTCTTTGTATGTAACACAGAAATAAATGTGTAACACAGTGCTGCTCACCCAGGGCTGACAGCCAGACATCTAATGGGAAATTAGAGGAATTAATGATTTGAAAGTTCATCAGAATGCACAAACTACCAGGCACACTCTCCAGGCACTTATCTCTGACCTTATACTTTCTCCTGTGCTACAAGTTATATTTCTCTTTGTTAAGAATGTACTTAAAAATCAAGGGCTGGGACATCTTGATATCTGAATGAAAAGGGAATACATGGCAGCTGCTGGTGCTGTCATGGAGAAAACTGCCAACATGTACATGCAGCTTATTGCAGATGTGGAGAAAATAGGTGTGAGTGTGTGTTCTGCATGTGTGAGGTCAGAGGGGGTGGGAAGGAAATGTGGCAGGTGCTGGAGCACAGCCCATCCATCTGAGCTCAGCCTGACTGCTGTGGCCTCTGGAGGGGGGATATGGCCACCTGGATTGACCTGCAGGGCTCTTCATCTGAGGGGTCTGACGTGGCCAGAGCTCCAGCCAGAGGAGCAGGGAGCACTGAGGGAAGGCAGAGATCCAGAGATGAAGGGTGTCCCACTGAGGAACAGGGTGGTCAGTCACACTGGGTCTGAGCTCTCACTGCTGGAACCCCACGGGTAAGGGCTGCAAGGAATCCCACAGCTTGCCCCAAAATCACTCAATTCCAGCTGCACTGCAAAGCCACAGGCAATGCAGCCCCCCCAATGTGGTTAAACAGCAATGTTATCCTGGCTGGACAGCCAGCACCAGGAGCTGATGATATTAAATACAGCTGTTGTAAGGCAAGCTCATTAAACTGAAAATAAATCCATGAACTGTGGCCTCCATGTGTTTTGTGTCTGCATGCACTGGGGGACAGCTGGACAAGGTCTGACTTGGTCTGGGGTGTACCTGGGCACAAGAGCAGCTGCTGTGCACCTGTGCAGTGGCAGAGGATGAGCTGGGGCCACAGCAGATCATCCCAGACCAACAGATTTGTTGACCAAACCCAGAGCTCAGCCAGCCTCTGCAGAGCACTGGGAGGAGGAGCTGGGCAGCCTGAAAAAAGCCAGCATCAGATGGTGCTGAGACTCCAGAGAGCAGCAGCAGTGCTGTGTGGTGGCTGCAGGTAAGGGACATCTGCACTGCTCTGATGGCTGGGGGTGGCAGCCCACCTGCAGCACCAGGAAAGAAACCAGAAGACATCGTACACATGGGTCACTTTCTTGGAATCAGGAGCTGTTTACAAGGATTTGGCCAAGCTAATAGCAACCCAGAGCTAATGTCATTGACCTGGGAATTCCTGGGAAGGGAAGTGAATTTTTCAGAGAGAGCACTTGTACATCATGTTTCTTCTGTCACATAAACTTTAAGGGGAAATGTTAATTTGCACTAATTTCTGTTTCTTGAAGTGGAACAAGGTTATGTTTTGATGACTGACTGTATGATTATCTGATGTGACAGAACTGTGGTGTGAATGGCTGGGGGAGATCACACTACCAGCTTCTGAGAGACATCCAAAAAGTACTTAATAAAATACCCTCTGTTGAGTCAGATCCATGAGTTAGCTATGGCTGGACCAAACAAGAAATTCTCAAGTAAAAATTGTTTCTTCTTTGAGTGCATATGGTTGAAAAGGAGTACTATAAGACCTTTCTTCTTAGGTTATCTACTTTTTGGTCATTTGCTAATAGTTGGGTATTGAATTTCACCTCCTTGAATGCTAAGGATCTTATTTATCCCCCAGAAAAATGGTAGCAAACTGCTCTGGCCACTGATAAACTTTGTCAGAAGATGAATGTAAGATGTGGGCTCGGCAGAGCTGGTCCCTATGAACAGGGTCTGAGTGACCATCTGTGCTCAAGTTTGGGGACATGGGGACTTTACTGTGTCACCTCTAGTTAGCCCAAGATGAGTAGCAGAAATGGCAGAACAAAGAGTGCCTGAGCTGTGGTACTTGAAGAAATGTCACTTGAGACAGTTCCTGTCCTGTGTGTGGGAGGAAGGTGGGTACCTGGGGGCACAGGCTGCACCGTGCCTCACCTGCAGCACTTCTTGAGAGAGCAGCAAGTTCAACCCAGAGCAGAGACACTGGAATAAAATACTGCACTTTAACAAACCAGGTATCTAGCCAACACGTCTGAGACATTGAAGGCTTTTTCTTCTCGTGTTCAGATACAAAACTGTGAGGAGTCCTTCCAGTAAGGAAGAAACGGGCTGACTGTGTGACTCAGGGAGCCACGTCTGTTTCCAGGGAGAGAAAGATGTCATGTCCATCACATTTGGGGAACTACAGTTATTCATGTCTGCTTTAGTTAAATAGCCTTTTTTTTTTTTTAATCCTGCATAATTAGAGCCTCAGGAAGTCTTGCATGTCCGGTTCAAAAAATAATCCAATCAGCAGTTTTAGCTTGGGTTCTCAACTTCTTTCAGGGCGTGTTCCCCAAAACTCAGCTTCTCTTAAACTGTTTTGTGTAGGAGACTGTTCATTTGGGGCAAGGCTCTACTGCCAGTCATGGATCAGGGTGTGGAAAGGGTTGGGTTTTAATCATCTCTATGAAAGTTCACACATTTGCCTCTTTCAGTGACACGGCTAGCTATTTTAACATGTGGTTTTTTGCTTGTTTTCTTGCTTTTAGGCAGGACTCAAACATTGCTAAAATCTTCTTGGGGCAGCATGGGCAGATGGATCCAGGCCATGTGCACTGGTACCCCACTGGCAGCTGCAGCAAAGATGTCAAGAAGAAAAGTCAGCAAAAATGAAGTTTCAATGTCTTACATAGACATGCATTGCAAGAAGGGGTGTGGCTGCCCCCATCCTCTTCCTCAGCAGGATGGCAGCTGGTGGTGGCTCTCAGAGCCCTGGATGAATTTGTCACACCACATCTTGCAGCACAACATTTAGCTTTTTGCTCCAGACAAATTTCACCACAGGGATCAGCAGGGTGGAACTTGGAATCACAGTCAGCAAGGGCCCCACGGGTGGGCATGCCTCTACCTGGAACTGAAATGAGATCCACCCAGCACTCATTACCCCACTCACTCTGGGAAAAAGAAGATAATCTCCAGCTCTCATTATCCTAGCAGAGAGGGAATAAGCTGTCACTGACATGGAGCAGCACTTCCAGAGATGGGTTCAGCTGCAAGGTGAATGTTTCAGCCCCAGCAGACAGGTATTTGCTGTGATGGGATGAGGCTGTGGAAAACCATTCCCATCCCAGCTCCAATAGAAAACAGCTCCCTGTCCCTCAGACACATCTGCCTCCTGCTCAAAGATACTGTTTCCCTGGGGCAGCTGTTAGAACCATGTGCTAAGGCATGGCTACTGAATGAACCCCAAAAACCTCCTCTAGTGGTTATTAAACCCCTGTAACAGAATTCACTAGGCCAGTAGATTTGCTTTTATACATGTTTCTTATCTTTCTGTAAGTCCTTCTCCTTCTGGTAATAATTAGTAAGCACAGATCAATCCTGTGTATCACACCTAGATAATTCTTGGAAGCACTTTTAAAGATACCCCACAGAGTACACTCAGAATGTCCCCTGGCTGCCAGTCAGAAGTCATCTCCTTGGCAAACAGTGTGTGCTTTCAGACCATGACTTTTGCCCATGAACTGGACTATTGCAGCCATAACGTGATCTGGGAGAGTCTGTGATGCTCAACATGACCTGGCAATGGGCACTTGCAGCTCAGAAAGGCAGCTGGGTCCTGGATGCATCAAGAGAAGTGGATGGGGACAGGGAATGGGACTGGAAAGATCCATACAGCCTTTCTCCTTCCTTCACCCTTCACCTAACTCAGCAGTGAAATGGACTCGTGATGTTTCAGAAAGAGGATCCTAGATGACAAAGGACAGAATAAAGGGAAGTGTTCTTCACTTGCAGTCTGGTCCCAGGAGGCTGGGAGTCTCTTGGGGAAAGGAGGACAGACCTGCACTTCTGGGAGAATGGGAGAAGTTGGGTGGATAGTGCTGTTTGTGATGACTTTCATCAGCTGCAATGGTGAGTAAATGCTTCAATACATAAGAAAAAAAAAAATCAGAGTACTAAGAAGATAGCAAAAATCTTTTAAATTATAGCATCTTTTTGGTTTTTTTTTTATGATGACTTTCATCAGCTGCAATGGTGAGTAAATGCTTCAATGCATAAGAAAGAAAATCAGAGTACTAAGATAGCAAAAATCTTTCAAATTATAGCATCTTTTTGGTGTTTTTTTATAATTGACAAGTCATTTAGGAAGTCTTTAGCTTATTATATTAACCACAGAGCCTGAGAATTCATGAGAGTCTCCTTTGGCAACAGATACAACGAGGGGCTTTCAAGAGTGTAGCAAATGGGGCAGTATTGGGCAAGTCAGCTTCCCTGCCCCAAGGAAGAGCAGAATACAGTTTTTTGGGACCCTTGGCAGTGTCCAGCTTTCAAAACAGTCTTGATGAAGCTGGAACATGCATTCTAAATTTAATAACTCATCCTCATTGTTCTGTTAGCATGACCCTGGGAAGAAGAGCTGTGAGACCAGGGGCTGGCACGTTTGATTCCCCTTGGTCTCTCCTATCTAGTGACTCTCTGGTTGCATCAGGAAAGCTGGGACTGGGACCTTGGCTTCAGTTCCTATTCCCCTGACTGAATATACCCTTTCCTCCAGGCATGTATGACACTGGCAGCAGCAGAGGATAGTTTTGGGAAATAGGAGAAAAGTGCTCTTACACATTGTATACAAAAGCACAGGATTGCTCCTGACATTCAGAAAATTGGGTTGAAATATATTCCCCATTTCTTCATAAAAAAACCCCAGCTTTGCAGATTACTGGGATCTGCCTCTCAACCAACTTCTTGTGAGCTAAAGCTGTTGAATATAAACAATGTCTTTCCAGGGAGGGGAAAGGGGAGAAGAATAAGGGGTATTGGGAGAGATGAGCCAAGTCAAATGAAATTCAGGTGATTTGCTACTTACAAGAGGCACATCCCAAAGGAGATGTGGGATCCATGGGCAGGCAGCTGGAGAAATATGTGGAGAAAATCTGCCCACTCTTCTGTGCCTACCTGAATGCTTGGCAGGGTGCTGATCTGTGTCAGGTCTGAAGTTTTCCAAGGCTAAAGCAAAAGGATAGGCTTTGGTCCACCATTCCTATTCCAGGTTCAGTACTGCAGGGAATACCCCTAAATGTTCTTGCCCACAAGGAGACTGTCTGTACCGAGAAAGAATTAAGAATTGGCAAGTTCCCAGAGAGAAACACAATAAAAATAGCCATGAGGTCAAGGCAGATGTTCACTTCCCCATGCTTGATGACGTGGGCTGCCTTAGTGCTGTGGTGTACAGCACATCTGAGACCTGGCCACAAGCTGGCACCTACTGCCCGGTGAGTCCCGTCTCTCCGGAGGACGTTCCCCTCCTCTGCTGCATTCTGATTTCTTCCCTTCCACTGCTGTTCCCCGCAGCCTTCCTGGATCTGTCTAGTGTCCACCAGGTCACGGGCACATGGATGGGATCCACCACTGTACCGTGTACCTATGTGCCTTCAGAAGATTTCACACAGCAAACGCTCAGCTGGAGCCTGGAGCGGGACTCCAGCACCTCTACCATCTTCCGGAGGGACGACTCTGGTGACCACATCTTGCTGTCCAAATTCCGAGGCCGAGTCAGCGTCCAAAAGCACAGCCCAGGGGATGCCTCACTCCGCATTCAGAACCTTGAAATACCTGACAGTGGACACTACACTTGTCAAATCATCTGGAGATCTAGAGATAACAGCTTGATAACAAGAGAGGTGACCACTATAGTTAAAGTTGTCAAAGGTAAATCCAGCAGTAAAGTCCTGCTCTTGTGCAGCCAGGTTAAACCAAAAGAAGGTAGGGGGGAACAAGTGTTGGTGTGAATAGTCTTTCACATCACGCTAGGTTGGGGGTTGAAGCATCTTCTTCCCTTGCAGTGTTGGTTAATCTTCTCAACACATGGAGTTGTAGGAATGAACTGGGGAAGGGAGCCAGTTGGATCTATTGATGGGCCAGTTGAACCCATGATGTCTGAGATAATATCCAGGTCTGGTTCTTTGCAGGCAGCCAATATATCTGTGGTTCTTGCAGCAGGTGGGTGTAGTGTGAGCCAAATCTGCCTTCTCCCCTTCCCGAGCATCCTCAATGTGTGCTAGAAAAAACTCTTTCTGCAAGGGGGCCGCCCACCCCAGAGATCAGGAGTTTGTGAAAGGGCAGTGGCAATGATGGCGCAGCTGGTGTGATCTGGATTAACACACAGGGTACCTGAGCTCATCCTGTGCAGGGAGGAGATGCTAAAGCTGAGCTGCTTTTTTTGGGAAGGCACCGACAGCAGGAGCGAGAGCTGCTGTGGCAGGGGACCGTCCCCACCACAGCCAGGGCTCCGTGACCCGGGTCTCTCTGCTCTGTGTTGCAGTGGCAGCCACCAAGCCCATCATCAGAGCTGCAGGCCCGGGGCTGACGCTGCCGGCCGGAGCCAGCACCAGGCTGAGCTGCGAGGCCGGCGGCTCCCCTCCCATCAGCTACCGCTGGTTCCGGGCGGGCAGAGCCGAGCCCCTGAGCAGCGGGGCCGAGCTGGCCTGGCCCAGCCTGCGGCCCTCGGACAGCGGCACGTACTTCTGCGAGGCGCACAACAGGGCTGGGGCCGGCGCCGCGCAGCGCAGCGATGCCGTGCAGCTGACGGTGACAGGTGAGTGCCGCGGCGCGGCTGGCAGCACAAATCCCAATCCTCTGCACGGCAAAGGAACCGCGTCCTCCTGCCCTGCCCGCAAAGGAGGAAAGGCCAAACGCCTTCAGCACTCGGACACGGCCCTCCCTGCTGGCTCCAGCCGTGTCCTTCTCTATTTCCTGCGTTCAATTTCCTCCTCTTTGAGGAACTGCTCTTTTCTGATGCAAAAGAGGATTTCTCCTTCAAATGTTAATTTATTTATTCCTCTGTGGGTTTTTTGAAGTTCTCCCTGGCTCTGTAATGCTGCCCTCTGCAATTCAGCAAGTTGAGACAAAGCAGACAAGCTTTATTTTGAGAAGCAGGAACGAGCGAGTGGTAATTCAGTGGCAGAACAAACCACACTGGCCTTTGCTCCCCAGCACCAGCTGCGTGTCTCAGGGAGACACACTGCACTTCATTCCAGGCTCCGACCCCTCCAGGTCTGCAGGACAGTGTGTGACAGGTTGGGCACAATGGCCTCAGAGGAATTTTTCAATATCTAATCAATTCCCTGATGGGTGCCTGGTGGAAAACTTGCAGCTCTCCGTGGCTGGTCCCTGGATCAGCACAGCTGTGAAGCCCCTGCTGGCAGAGCCAGGCACAGGCACATGGCAGTGGCCTGTGAAAGAGGCAGAGCCTGCTGAGCTCCCAGGCACGGAGCTGTGCTGCTTTTCCCCGCAGTCACACCTTGCAGGGAGCAGCACAGGAACAGGGCTCAGTGCTGCAGGTGCTGCCTCACGCTGCTGGCACAGCATCCCCCTCCTGTCAGCTGGGAGGGGGCTGCTTCCTCCTGCTCCCACCTGTGGGGAATTCTGTACCACAGCAGCATCACCATGGTGGTCAAACCCCTGTGTAAGCCTCTCCTCGCCCTCACCTTGCAGATCTGCCCACAACAACTGTGGCCTTGCAGAGGAATGTGGGAACCACGCGGGGACACCACTCAACCACAGGTCAGGAAGACAGTAGTGACATGGAGCACACAGTGACAGGTGAGTGCCCAGGCCAGGGTCATTCACCTCTGTGGCAGGAGAAGACAAAGGCAGGGAGTTTCTCTTCCACAGCCAGACCAGACACCTATGCTGAATATGAATTGTGTCTTGATTGCTCCCCAGAGAGGCAACACCACAGTCTGGCACCCCTACTTTGGAATGTGCCCGATGATGGGAGGGGACAAGAAAATGTTTTCTGTGTCCCTCTGCGACCAGAACTGTTGAGGCTGCAGAGCTTCAGAAGGAGGTTGCCTGGGGCAAGAGACCTGGCACAGGTCTCCACACCTCAGGAAGTTTATGGTGCATGTCATGGCAAAGCCCCCCAGGCCAGCCAGAGAGTCACCATAGGAGAGAGAGTGAAGGTGTCCTCTGGAAATCTAGGGAAGTGCCAGCAGGGCAAAGCCAAAGCATTCTCACGCCATGCTGTAGCCAGGCATGATGCCTCATATCAGCCACGGCTGCCAGGAACCTGTGGGGCAAAGGACAGGGAGGGGGACATGAGTGCCAAATGCTGCCCCAGGCCTGCTGGCAAGACACATACAGGATAACAGGTGAGTCTAGGTTGGCACAGCAGACCCCATTTTCCTGATGCCCAGTGGGGCTGCAATGCATCCACCATTCTCCACTGACAGATCCAGTTCCAACGACACGGGTCTCCAGGATGGATACTGCTCCAGTAGGGCCTTTCACAGACACAGGTGAGTGGAGTCTCATGCTGGAAAACACCAGGTTTGCACTGGCAAGGGCAGGGTGGCAAACATCATCCCAGACCAGCTCCACATCTGGCTGCTGTGCTTGTGGCAGATAGGGCTGCAGGGAACAAACCCTGGCATGCCAAATACGAGGCACTATCCAGGCAGGAGCTGCGCACCTGATTCCCACCCACACGCCTGTCGGTGGGGGTGTTTGCAGCCTGAAGTTTGCTGTTTGTTTTCACGCAGGGATGCCCCATCCCTGGAAGTGTCCAAGGCCAGGTTAGAAGGCGCTTGGAGCAAGCTGGTTGGTGGAAGGTGTCCCTGCCCACGGCAGGGCATGGAACGAGATGATCCCTTTAAGGTCCCTTCCAAACTAAACCATCCCGGCATTCTGTGACTGCCGGCAAGTGGCTGCACCCCAAGTGGCCTCGGCCGCTTCTCGGTTAGGCTTGAAAGGCCGTCCAAAGGAGCGGGGGACTGGCGGCTCCCGGGCCGTGTCCCCCTGCCGCGGTGACAGCGCTGTCCCCCGCAGGTTCCCCGCGGCTCGCAGCGTCCCCGCTGCTCTACGGGCTGCCGGCCGCGCTGGGCGGCGCCGCGCTGGGCGCGCTGCTGGCGGCGGGGCTGGGCTGCTGGCGGCGGCGGCGGAGGAAGGACGGTGAGCAGCGACAAACCCAGCCGGGGCCGGGCGCTGGAGACAGCCCCGGGAAGAGGGGACGGGTGGGCGGTGGAGGGCCCGGTCGGAGCTGACGGGCGGGAGGGACGGTCCCATCCCCATCGCTCCCATCCCCGGTTGATCCCTTCCAGAGAGAAGCCTATGGGAGGGTTATTCCCTAAATGTGGGAACAGCTGGAAGTTGGGTTTTGTTCTGTGACGCTTATCTTAGATTCTTTTTTTTTTTTTTTTTTTTTCCAGAACCTCTCTATGAAGTTGCTTTGTGAGTGCAATTTCTACTTGGGGCATTAAGACCGAGGGCACTGTACTGGTATCTGCTGCTAAAAAGCCTCTTTGCTCAGTGAAAAGCAAAGATTTATTTTCCTTACATGGGGAGGATCTGAACACCTTGGCAGTTTAGTTAGCAACATGAGGACTTAACATGTGGTCACAGGAGATAGCCAGACTGTTCTTTAATATGGTAGAAAAACAGAAAGATATTATGGGTGCTTTGCTGTGTCTGTCACATGCCATGGGAAACCTGTTCTCTGTGGGAAATTCTTGCCATTATTTAGCAAAGCAAAGGACAGAATTTTTCAGCTCTTCCTTTAAGTTCCCTCTACACTTGCCTTTCTCTATAAGAAACATGTCTTAGTGCTTGGCCAAGTATTACTTTGCAGAGTTCCTATTAACATATGATTATACAAACACATCTTCTGCCCTGTCCTCATCTCAGTCTTCAACACCTTCATGCTGCTTTCCTACTCAGAAACACACCATAGCCATCTGTAGCAAATTTTCCCAATTATTCCTGGTATTTATTTTCCAAAGGCTGGACTGTCTGCTGGTAAGTTTAGAGTATAACATGATAATGCCATGAGAGTTTATAGCACCAGTATTAACCAGTGCTTCTTATTGTGTAATTCTTTTAGCATCACTTTCTAGTGTCTTTCAGAGCCCCCCCAGGCCCTCACTAGGATAGTATGAATTTTGGTGTTCACAGATTATGTGGTAGATCTTGTCTCTAAGGTGTAAATGAAGTGCCATCTGCTTCAGTCATCCCTCTCACTCTGTCTCTCTGTCCCAGCCGCCGCACTGCAGATGTCGCCCTGCTGCACCCTGAGGTGGAAGTCCCTGCTAAGTGCCTACAGGAGGAAACGTGCTCCAGCACTGAAAAGACCACCGTGAAAGACAGGAAAAGCCCTGAGTATGAGAACCTTGTGACTGCAATGGAATCTCAATATGGAACAGAAGGAATTTACTAGAGTACCAGCTTTTCCACATGAGCAGCCATGCAGGGCTGCAGGTACTGAATAGTGAACTCAGCAGAGAGAAACTCTTCCTCCTGTTGTCCCTCTGTTCTGCTCTCACTGCTTGCTGTAACCCAGAGGAACTGCATAACCTTTTAGTCTTTGGCAGACCAGGCCCTGCCTGTGGGAGCAAAAACCCCTCGCCACCTTTATGTCCACCCACTTCTATAGAGCAAGTTGTTTCTGAGCAACCTGAAGGACCCAGGGCAGGAAGAGAGGATCTGAAGGAGTGACAACATGAAATTATTTAGCCTGTAAATCCAGGAGTAGTTGGTGCAATGCTGGCATTCAGTAACACTAGCAAGGGATACTCTCCAATGTGTGTTCCTGTTAAGACATCCCAGGCTGCAAGGAACCAGGATTGTGCTGGAAATGGAGATCCTGTGGCTTTTCCAGTTCAGCAAGTACTGGTTGTACATCCTGCCTGTGCTTGAGTCTTTCTTCTTTTTTTTTGTTACAGCGTGGTAAAGGGACAACAGAGGGGAGATTGGTGTTCCAGGAATTTTTGCTATCAGACTGGAGCTCAGTGCTCAGAGAGAGAGGGAATGAGTCTCTGAACTGTCACCCACTGGTTTTCTTCTGGAAAACAAGAACAGATGTTGAAGGAAATGCTGGCATTTAATTTTTACAGTTTGGGGGCCACAGGCATGATAAAATAGAGGGAAATTTGAGGCATTTGGATAATGATTAAGGGACCTCTCTGAATACAACAGGCTGACACCAATTTACTCTGAGGGATGTAAGTCAATCTGTGTGATTACTAATGCTGACCTGTTGTACAACATGGATGCAATTCCTGCCTTCAGCTGCAGTGCATTCCCTACAGTACACTGTCACTCAGCAGCCTGATTTGCCTTGTCATTGTTAATTGTTTGCATCTTGCCTGTACTGCAGTGCTGCTGTCTGTTCTGTCCTCTCTGTCTGTACCTCCAGCCAGCAGCCCTTTGTCCTCCAGGGACTTGGCAGGGAGGAGGAATGCCTCCTGGCTTTAGCAAACCAAATTTGTAAGAATTACTGCCTTTTTTATATCAGTGAGTGCAGCAAGGAAAACATGGGGAAGCTGCTGAGCTCAAGTCACACACACCCTCCTGCTTGGCCCTGACTTCGCCCACAAGGCTCATCTCTGCTGCCATGTATCATCTCTTTTTGAGTCAGCAGGGTCACTTTGCTGTTTGTGGCCTAAGTGCTGTGTAGAGCCACACTTTTACCTTTACAGCTCTGAATTGCAGGATGTGAGGTGGGAAAGATCAGAGAAAAAAAAAAATCTCCTGCCTATATTGTGAGGGCTTCACAAGCACGGTGACAGCCATGCAGGGATGGCTGTGCTGGCTGTCAGGTTGTGCTCCAGGGAGGCAAAGTCTGGATCCAGTCTGTCCCTGTGGGACCCATGGCAGCCAGTCCTGAAGACCCCATTCTGCAGAAGCTGCTGGCATCAGCAGTTCCAGGGGTGGTGCAGAACAAAGGAGTTGAGGGGAATGGAGAGCTGCAGCCATGCTCACACAGGGCAGTAGCATATCATGCAAGGTCAATGCTGGGTGGGAAGGGAACTGAAAATTTCTCAGCTTCCCCATCCTTACCTCAGCAAATCTAGGCCCAAAACATGTGACATGGCATTCTCCTTCCCCCCACCCCCCAAAATAATCCTCATTCATTTTCAATTAGCTTGGTATTTTGTGCAAATTTTCCTGCTGTTAAAAGCTCTGAGCTCCAGGTTCACTCATTGACTATGTAACACCATGGTTTTTCCATCTTGTGATTCCTCCCAGCACTGATCTGCTCTGACAAGGTCTGGACACCTTCCTCAGAAGACATGAAGCCTGGGAGAAGCTACAGAGGAAGAAGGCAACAGGAGTTAAGAAAGGGGGAGCAGATGGACCAGCCCCCATGTACTCCATCTTGTCACTCCTCTAGTTAGGGCAGCAACAGGACTTTGGTCACAAGCAGCAGAAGAGTGCAAACATTAGAAGCCTGTCTCCAGTGCTAAGGTGTTTTTCCCTGGATAACAAGTGTGTTATTATTTCTTGATTTTACTTTTAGCATGTTTTTCATGTTTCTAGTAAAACCTGTTGGCAACAGAACATTTTTCTTCTGAAACCAGAAAACTTCTCCTTTCCTTGCACTGTGCTCTTCTGCTGAGCTCTGCTCCAGAACGGAAGGAAAAGCTCAGCTTCTGCCCTGAAAGGACACTGCCTCCCAAAAACACACTACCTCAAGTGGCCAGCACAGTGTCATGAGACTCGAAGTTCCCCTTGCAGTGCCTGTCCCATGGAGGGGACCTGTTGGCTTTTACAGCTGCTGGGTTTGTACCATACTTCAGAGCAGGGAGGTGGGAGATGAAATCCCAGAGAAATTTGTACCACTGTAATTTGATGTTCTTGTAAGAGAGGGAGGGGCTTACTTTTTTCCCCTTCACCCCAGTCATCTGGAAGGATCTGGGAGCTGAAGGGGAGAGTTATCTAAAAAGTAGAGAGCAAACTACTGGAAGCAAAAATTGGAAATGTATGAGAAAACAAGAATGAAGGGCATAAACAAATCGTTGGCCATCTGTGGTGCAAAGGAGGTTGGGTCTGTTGAAACCTCAAGGTTTGAGTGACAGCAGAGCTTGGGGCTGACATGGCTGTGTGCTTTATGGAGGATCCACTGGGGACAAAGCAAAGCCTGAAATCATAGACCTTGCTCTCTTTTGAAGATGACCTGAGTGATAAAAGTCAGGGTCATGTCTGTGAGTCATGAGGAGGTGCTTGAGAGAGACCATGGGAGTGTGAGTCATAAGGAGCAGGGCCATTTCTGGCCACTTGTGGACCATGTTTGTCCAGAAGTGCACAAGCTAGTCAAAAAGCAGAACACAATTTGCTTAGGCAGTTACATACATTCATGGGTTCCAGCTTAGTACAAACTCCAGCTTCTTTGAAATATTTACTAAGAAATAGTTGCAACAAAAAGCCCAAAAGCTTAGTATTCAAGTTTATTAATACTCTCAAATATTGCAAAATTTGCTGGTGGTACTGTCCTAAAACTAGTCAGTAGAATCTTGGGATTTTTTTTTTATTTTATTTTTGAGTTTTCCATGTCAAATGCTCTCAAAGAGTTTGATTTGTCAAATTGGGCTGGATGCTCCCCCTGTCATTCCCCTACCCTGACATATCTGAAATGCTACAAGTCAGTTACTGAAAACACTTAGCAATCATTAGATCTTCAAGTAATGAAGATGATTTAGAGGGAATTACTTTCATTAAATAGCAGAATAGGCAACCTTGCTGCAAGTGCTGACTAGGAATAACCATGCAAAGACAAGAAGTGCTCTCCAAACAGCAGGGTTCGCAGGAGGGGCAATGGACTCCATGGCCTAATTTAAAACAGATTGAGCAAACATGCATTTTTCACAGGCTAATGGGTCAGAGGGACGTTAATGAGCAGCCTCATTAGTTTCTACTCCATATAAGAAAGATTACTACATGTGCAAAGGCAAGATTCTTTATTATGGATAATGCTGCCTTTAGCCGTGATGATGTGATTGTAGTTGCAAGGATGCTTGTTATCTGAGCTTAATTTACAGCTGGCTAGCGTAAGAGAACAGCATTGTATTTGGATGCAAACAACAAGGACCTAGGGCTCAATTCCCTGTTTTCACAGTGCAGAGAAGTTGCACCAGCACCACTTCTGCTCTGATTTACTATTGGAAGGGGTACCCCAACAGATACTTCCAAAACCGGGGTGGAAGGGAAACCTGGCAGCACAGGATCCGTCGGGTGTTCTGGAACAATGGGATGTGTTGCTCAGTACCTCGCTGGGTTTCTGGAGAGGAAGGCTCCTGCCAGAGCAGGAGGAAAGGGCTGCACCCTCGGCGTCGCGTTGCTCAGCAGTGCCTCACTTGGGGTATTTGACAAACTGACACTCTGCACACTGAGTGTCGGACTCAGCTTGTCAAATACACGCAGTGCCACACTGCAGCTCCCCGGGGTCACAGTGGCCTCGCCGGATACCAGCCTGGGCACACAGAGGGAAAAGAAGCACAGCAGCTGTTGTTAACTTCACAGGCTTTTTCCAGTTAGCAAAAAGCATCATTTATCCTCCCATATTTCCCCCTCCTACATTCTTTTTGGGATGAGAGAGAACCACAGCAGCAGACACTGCCTTCTGCTGAGGAAAATATCCACTCCATTAATTCAAAAGTCAGAAAAAGAAGTACAACTGTGCCCCTGGGCATACAGATAGGGGTTCATCACTGACTCTGTTGGAGGCTCCTCTATTTGGGCAGACTACTGTAAAGATTATGATGCTGAAAGAAAACCAAGCTCCACAATGGGAAACAATGAATTTCTTCAGAAGTGAAGTGAAACTTTCTCTTCCGTTGACAAACTAACCCCCTTCTGCTTAATTTCTAACAAACACAGAAAACCTTTCCTGCAATAAGTGGAGCTTTCCACCTCCAAACGCTGGCATAATCCAGCCTTTAAAGGTGAACATCATATTCACACACACTTTGCACAAATACAAAATTTACTGTTATTCCCATGTTCTTTTAACAAGAGTGTGCAGGAAATGCAGAAATGCACCTAAAGAAAACTAAATAACAAAACATACACAAGAGAATATGTTGCACAGTATTACTCTGTTCTGTGTCCTTCTCAGATGTTGACTGTTTAGAAAATCACTCTAGAAACAGATTTGAAATTCTGATACTGTAGAACTCTCCCAGAAAAATCCGTAATACTGGCTCCTAAGTTACACACCTATTCGGCACCACACTGTTTATGTCATTCATTCTCTTTGTGGACATATCCAGATATAACTGAGTTTTTAGCATGGTGTTTTAGCTTCCTTGCCAGTCCACAGATTTTAATTTCACATGACCAGCATCACCAGTTTGTGAGAAAGTATTTTTAGTATCAAAATAAAGACTGCAATGTTTGCAATTATATTTTTAAGGTAGACCATTAAAATTCTACTAAAGTAGAATTAGATTAAGTATATTAACAATATCATACATTGGGCAATTCATCAATCATTTCTGCCTCTAACTTCTGTGACTGTTTTACACAGATGATCATAGCATTCCATCTAATATCACATACAGAAACATACCTGGAAAGGAAAAGGTTTTTTCAGGTGAAAGCATAGCAAATACATGTTCTCCAAAACCAGAAGAGAGTGGAGTAAGACTTAAGAGCAAGAAAACAGCTACAGTTTTAAAGGTAAAAGCTGTTTCTAGACTGAGTCACTACCATGCTTTGCAATTCTGGCATTCCCCTGTCTCCACCTTCGCCTTGGGTGCAATGTAGATAGTGACCAGTTCTGTGCTCTGCCTCCTCATTCCAAATGCAGTTCAGCCATGGCAGATAAAACTATGTGGCAATGGATAAAATCAGCATATGCACTTCATGAAGATAAGAAAACTATGTTAATGAGCTGATTTAAGATCAGCCTACTGAAGTATATGTGAACTTGTGATTCCCCAAAGGACTCTAAGCCATACCAAAATGTGGGGAAGCCACTAGAGAAAGACTAAGCAGGCTCTTCCACAGTTACCAGAGAGCAGATTGCCTTCAGCTTCAGTGCAGATGTCTAACTGGGGCAGATCTGGCCTTGGAGGGGGAAGAAGAGAACAAGGCAGCACTGCTTCTGCAATTGAAGCTTAAAATAATCCCCCATTGTGGCTTTCTGAGGAGAAAAACAGCCGCTTAAAATGTTGCTGTGAGGGACAGATAAGGGGTGGGGACACAATGGAGATAATGCTATCAGCAGATGGGAATGGAACTTGAAACTCTACCCATAGAGATCATATCTGATGTGAATAGATTTGTCATTGTCAGAGCTTCTGGTTTCAAGCTAAAGTGGGTATTCCCAAGTAAAAGCTCAGTGTTATAAAACTGGGCAATCTACTGCATACTCTGAAGGCCAAACAGAAAGAATTTTTCTTCCTGCATTCTTAAGTCAGTCCCTTACCAAATTCACAAAAAGTCCCCTCTGGGCTGCACATCATCGCTCAGGTATTTTTACAGGGCTGTCAGACTGTTCTGCAACTTGTCATGAAAATAAATGAAAAGTAAGATTATTGGAGAGATTCAACTCTAAACCTAATAACAGCATGCATGGAAGTGTGGCTGTGTGGTTTTCACATGCTGAGTAGCAGAGCCCTAGGATGCAGGCTGCAGCCATTTCAAGGCATGCCTTTATTTTGCAGGATTGGAACTGGAATCAAGGTCATCTCTGTTCTCCAACTGGTGAAACACAAATCACAGCCTGAATTGAAAGCAAGAGTCCCTAGAGATCAGTGGCAACAGGGTCTGCTGCACCCCTGGCCAGCTGAAACCTTGGCTTGTGCTTCTCCTAGGAGGTGGAAGCGTTTGTCATTAACAGAGACAAATAAGGCTTTGCTCATGGCAGACTTCCACTGCATGCTGTCCTGCTCCATATATGACCTTCCTATGCCCCCAGCCCTGCAGTGGACACTGCAAGGAGCTTTGCCAGACAAATGCTGGTTCACTTCAAGGCCCCCAGGAAGGGCCTGATAATGCCCCCATTACCTTCAGGTCACCCTCACATGCTCCCACAGCCCTCACACTGCCCTGAGCCCATCAGCCCCTGTCTGTGCACATTGGACTCTGTCCCCATCCCCAGACATCCAAAGTGGGGAAGAGGGTACGTGCAGTAAACTTTCATCTGCTCTAGTGAAACCATGGGGACAGTGAGAAATGGAGCTGAAGAGCAGAGACTCGCACACAGCTGGGACAGGGTTTCTCCCTGGTTAGACCCTCCTCCATCCCACACCCTCCCCTGCTCATTGTGAGCTGCCTCATCTATGACTAATTTAGATCAAAATCTCCCGCTGCCAGCAGCTCCCAGGCAGCATGTGTGTGTCTGTGAGCTGAGGGAGCATGCACACATGTATCCTGCTGCTGAATAAGGCTACATATCACTGCTAATCATAATTTATCTTCATCAAGGAGCCATGGTCCAGGGTGCGTGCTTCCTGGCTGGGACCAGTGGCATTCCATCCCTGAGCCTGCCCTCCCCAAGCACACCCAGCCAAATGCTCCCTCATCCCTGAAAGAAGCCACCAAAAAGCCCCTCTGGCTTAGGCAGACACAGCCCCAGCACCAAAGGGAAGCAGCCCAAACCCAAGCAGGATTTAGACCCCTCGAAGTTCAAGGTGTAACATGGGGTGGACAGCTTTCTTCACTGCCAGGAACAGGGACACCCCACACCTTTCTGCATCCCAACACCCACAGGCCTTTGGGATGAACCCCAAAGGACACATTCTCCCCTGTCCCCAGCCCCCCTTCCACGGGCAGGATGGGGACCTGGCACCTACCATGGCGGGGCTGTCTGGAGCCGCGGCAGGCCGAGCCGGCAGCGCGGGGCTGTGGCGGGGGTCGTGCAGGAGCGCGGTGGGGGCTCAGCCCGGGCACACAGCTCGGTTTTGAAGGGGCTGCTCCTCCTTCAAGAGGAAGCTGCAAATGGGGAAGATAAGGCTGAGGTTAGATAACAGGAAATGTCTGGATGTGAGTGACAACACATCCAGGTTGTGAAAGCAGCTCTCCCCATCCTGCACGAGGTTCACGAGCGGGGTGAGGGCGAGTGCCTCGGCCTTTGCCCAGTGCAGGCCCTATGTGACCCCTCAGGGGCTGGGCACACAGGGCCTGCAACACACAGCCACCGGCAGCACAGGGAAGGACACCTCATTGCCACAATGATTGTCCCCAGTCCGGCCACCTCCATCTCACAGTGGTCATGCTCCGCTGCCCTGGCTGCTGAGGAGCCATGCAGGAGGCTGTGAAGGCACAAACAGCCAGAAGGGCTCTGGTTTGGGACACAGGCTCATGCCCAGGAGTGCATCTCTTACCCTGAGGAGTCTGAGTGAGGTGCAGGGAAGCAGAGTTCTGTTCTCAAGGCTCCAGCCATTGCACGAGGTTTTGTTCCAAAAGCTGCCCCGCAAGGCTCACCTTGCTTTTGAACTCATGGCCATGCCTCAGCTCTTCTGTTCCCTTCCACTCACACGAGCAGACAGGATTGGCTTTCTCAGTTCCAGCACCCAACCAAGAAGCTGGCCCTGCCTCCATGCCCCTGCCGGTCCCTCCACACACCCTCTGGTGTCCACTGAGGTCCCTGTCCCCGTCTCTGGAGCATCCACAATGCCTGCACAGAAAAGTAAACACCAGTGGATAGCTCAGATTGTAACCAAAGCAAGCCCCAGAGTTTCTCCTCTCCTGTACCACCCTCAGTATGAGGCAGTCTCAGGTGGCACCTACAATCAGTACTGTTGTCATCCAGCCTGGCCAGAACCCCAGCTGGCCAGCACAGCTGTGGGGACAGAGACCAGCAAGCTGCATTTGCCCAGGCCAGCAGCACAGGCTGGCCACGCAAGACCAAAACGACTTCAAGGAAACCCAGGAATTTTAGAGGCATTCCTCATCTTTCTAGGCCAGTATGATACAGTATATTTTGTAAAGCCAGGATTCATTAAAAATATATTGTTCTGTGTCTGCACCATCCCAGGTATGTTTGCCATCAGCTAGGCCTGATAGTGTGATGGACAATTGAGGGATATCTCTCTTGCAGGATTGGTTTTCCCACTCCCAGCATTCAGCTGCAGCCCTTCCTTTCCAGTTTTACCTCCCCACTGCTGTCTGGCTCTTCAACCAAACCCCACAGACACCACCCAGTGCTGGTGTCTGGGGCCTGCCTTAGTCCAGCAGCTTTCAGTTACATTATCAGCGTGCCAGGACTGCAACCACAGACTTTATGTTTCTGCAGCTCTGGCCAAACCCCTAATCTGGAAAGCACTTATTTATGCCTCCAAATAACTGATCCCCTGGGAGCATGCTCAAGCTACTCTGAGACTCTGTGAAGACATAGTAAGACCAGCCAGCCTGCCAACAGTCAAACCCGTTCCCTGTGCCTGAGGAAAAGTCAGATAATGAGGAATACAGTTACTGTCCAGTTCCTCTTTCATTTGCCTGTGTTTTAAAATATACAGTAAAAGAGGAATGGACAGGTCTGGGTGGTTTTGATCTGTTTTTACTTTGGTTTTAACTGGCTGCAAGGAGTAGGGCTGTTCATGCAGTCTATGTAGGCTTTTTTTATGCAAGCCAGCATGAGCTTCAGTCCATGAAGGTTTTCTAGCCAATATGCCACCAGAAACCTGAGACTCATCAGCTGGGGCAGTGGGAGATCAAGCATCTTTCCCCAGAGAGGACACTGCTTTGCCTGCACCTGACCCCAGCCCAGTCCTATGGGCCTACAGTAACATCCAAGGTGGAAGGCTTTCAGGGAAGCTGATTTCCTCTATACTTTGCAGATGTCACCACACTGCCCTACTCTGTGCAACAACCTTGAAATCACACTCAGCATTTCCCAATGAAGGGACTGTTTTCAGAGCTCTGTAGCTTGCTCTGGGAAGAGGAAGAAAGGAGGTAGAGAAGCTGTGGGCATCACAGACTGCCATCAAATAATGTTTCAGAGGCTTCTGCATACTGCTTCCCAAATTTTCTTGGAAAATCACTTGAAAAGAAGTGTATCCATTTGATTAGCATGCAGCAAATTCTCTCACACTGCAGTCTCAAATTCTTGTACTTTTTACCTGACATGAAGGATCAGCAGAAGGATCAGCATGTTTGTACTGGACATGGAAAAACTGGGACTCATTTAATACCTATGCTGCTCTGTGCAGATCAATCCACACAGACAGGAAACAAAAAAGAACATGGAACTCTTGGAGCAAGTGCAGAGCAGATCCACAAAGTTGATAAGAGGACTGGAGCACCTCTCCAGCAAAGACAGGGAAAAGAGTTGCGGCTGTTCAGCCTGGAGAAGAGAAGGATTGTGAAGACCTCATAGCAACTTCAGTATTTGAAGGAACTACAGATACTGGAAGCTGGAAAGGGACTCTTCATCAGGAACTGTAGTGACAGGACAAGGAGTAATGGGTGCAAACTGAAAGAGGAAATTTTGGCTGGATATTAGGAAGAAATTATTTCCTGTAAACGTGGGGAGATACTGGAACAAATTGCCCAGGGAAGTTGTGAAAGGCCCAACCCTGTCACAGTTCAAGGCCAGGATGGATAAGGCCTTGAGCAAGGTGGTCTAGTGCTCATGGCAGGAGGAGCTGGGACTAGATGATCTTTAAGGTTCCTTCCAACACTTAACTTTTTGTGTTTCTGTGATCCAAACTGACTTAGCCAAGGCTAGGTGACTGCAGAATCTGGCCCTTGGTCAGCAAGCGTTCACAGCACACAGAACTAAGTCCATCAGTTTTGAAGCCACAATATGAAGGGATGGAAAGACAAATTATTCATACATCAAATTCAAAAATACCAAATCATTCTTCTGAAGTTTCTCTTCCTAGGTGAAGAATACTCTTATTTACTCCTGCATTGGCTAACTGTTCAAATTGTTTTCCTTCATCCTTAGTTCTTGGAGAGCTTTCAGACTAAATCTCAGAGAGCCCGTTGCTACCAGACTTTCTCCTGAGCTATCTGTGAGAACAGCAGGCACTGCCTTGCCCTGCAGTGAGGTGTTAATGACCCAGGGTCTAACAAAGCCAGCAGTGACCCCTCCAGCAGTCAGCTCCAACAAAGCCAGCAGTGACCTTTCCACCAGTCAGCTATAACACCACCTTTTTCAGTTTGTCCAGATGTGGGTGAGCTTTGACACTTCCCAGCATTACAGGTGCTGCCTGGGAGAAGCTGTGAGGCACAGTGAGAGCCCAGCATGAACGCACACGGGGGAAAGGGTGAAAAGAAGGGTGTTTATGTGAACGACCATAGCGACCATGTGAGTGAGGCAAGGAGGAAAGGGGAGACCAGGAGCAGCCCTGAGCTGCCACTGCAGCACTTCCCTGTGCCTCTGGAAGCACTCTTGGTGCTGGATTCTCCAGGGTGCTAGATGGGGTGAGTGTTTCCACAGTTCTTTTCCTCCAGAAGATGGCTGATTATGACAGCTTAGTTCCAGGCACTAAAACAACTTGCAATGATGCAGGAAAATATCACAACGATTCCTTGAAGTCCAAGCTGTGCATGATGGAGGAACTCACTTGGGAGGTCTTTAATCCTTACATCAGGGCAGGGATCTCTTCAGCCAGCAAGGTTAGAGACATTTCATCTTCACCATCAGCCTACCTCTAGGAACAAGACTTCTCAACTGCCACAGCTTGTCAGCAAAAGTCACTTAGCTCAACCCTGCCTCACTGGCCAGCCTGAGCTTTGAGTTGTGTGAACATCTTGTTCCCATTTCCATTCTTCACCTCGTTCAGAAAGAAAAACAACACCACGTGGACCTCCAAGTTTTGCTGTCAGTGCCATCCTCCCTTCCTGCCCTCTTTTCTGGCAGGTGCACAGCAACAAGAGTCAGAGGCTGGGCTCCAGCAAACAGCGGATATTTCTGTTCATGGCTGATTATGTGTTTGGCACATTTGTTTTAGACCTCTGGTTAAGGGGGGGAAAAATGAGAAAGAGAGACAGAGAGAGAGGAAAAAAAAAAAGGCAGACACCAACCAAGAGGTTCAAAGCTGCTTTTCAGATGGACAGTGAGAGATAAGAAAACCCCACTAACTGTCACAGCTACTGAATGACCCAAAAGACATCCTGTACCTCATACACAGTTAAGAATAGCATTCAGGGAACAGTAGTAGTGTTGATATTTACTCCTAAAGATGTAGCAAAATAGCACCAGCCAGAGGTCAAGTAAGTTCAGGTAGCTTCGATTCATTCTTATTTAATGAGTACACTTGGATTTTGATATGAGTGGAAGAAAACCAGACTTCCTTTTTTTCCCCAGGTCTGGCATACCTGTTCAGTTGAGGCCAGTTCTCTGTTCATAGGTGCTAAGTAACCTTGTCTAGAGATTTTGCTTCAAAATAAAGTTGTATTGCAGCCACCTTAATTCCTTAATTTCCTTAATTCTAATGCATCATTGAATAATAAAGCTACATTTTCCATATTTGTTCCATCAAAGGACTATCTTTTTTCTTGCAGTAATCTTATTACAAAGAGTAAAGTCTTACTCTAGTTCTGAAAGATTGACAGACTTTATCTCTTAAAGAAATCATGAGCTATGGAGCTGCTTTATTCACTGCTAGTATCAATACAGTTACTTCTGAGAACAGAATCCAACCTCAGAATTCTAAAAAAACAATAGTGGATTCATTTATGTATGGGGTTTTTTCATAAAAAAAAAAAAATTAACAAGCATTTAAGTTGTCAAAGACAGGATTGTGCCAATTCTTTTTCACAGACAATGAAGGCAGAGAGCAACTGTGCTTCTGACAGTCACCACTGAACATGCAGTAACTAAATTTATTTTTGTCTGCATATTACTTTCAGAAACCACACATCAGTCAAGTTTCTCTGCTGCCACTTTCTGGAGATTCTACCAAATTAATATCCTGGGTACAAAGCACTGGTGATGGCTACAAGGCATGGCAAGCAAAGGCCTG